GTTAGTGAACATCTCAGGACAGAGAAAAATTATCCGTAGCTCCATTTTGTCACATTTAGTTGACAGTGGTCATGTAGTGGAGGAAAGTAGAGCTTTCAAGGTAATTCATGGTATCCCACACCTTTCTCAACATCCCTTAGTCGTATTATCCCATCTTCATTAAAAACGTGTTTCATTTACTTCCCTTACAATCAATTTAGCATTACACAATCGGATCATTATTTTTTAGCCTGTATCGACTACTACGTCTACCTGAACATTTGTTCGTCTCATCATTCTGTTTTACATCAGTATTCTTGTTATCACAGATTGCCTCACTTTTTCATCATTTATATTGTAAGAAACACTATTATCATTACTACTATTATGACTAATTGCACAATTTATATTCACCATCTTGTTATCCTATACACAAAACACCATGATGATTGGTTTATATTTGAATTTTTATTTGTAAAGTTATGTAGGTATATTAGAGTTAACCCTGATGATGAGATTTAATTGTAAACATATCTGAAAGGCGTGTCTGCAAAACATGAAGAAATTATGGAATCAGTAGTCAGTCACAGTGAGTAAAAATGCCAGCATATCCGATCTTGAAAGCTAATAGATTATAAGCGATACGGTAGAAGGTAGAACGAAGTGACAACCCTGTGTCATACGTTTACATAACCTTTTCTAAATGATTGATTTCAAGTGACATGATGTTGAGAGCCCTTAAAAACCAGAAAGTACTGGATAGCTGTTACGCTGTAGTGACTGACTACATTTTCAAGTTGTCTAGAGTTCCAGTAGAAAGTCGTAACCAGCCAGGTCTACCGATTTGGGTCAAGCCATTTCTAAGTAATTATATCAGTTATGTCACCCCTTCTATTGCTCAATAACAGACTACTATACATACTACGATACTATACATACAGCCTGTGAAGATGATTTCGTAGACACAGAAACTTTTCTTCGCTGAATTGTCTTTTATTTTCTTTATGGTTCAGTGGGTGATTTGAACCGAAGCTATTATTTTTTATTGATATAGGGAATCAAAACTGATGCGACAGTAACACAGTAAGTGATACTTTTTTTGGATTGGATATGGAGTTTATTGATTATTCTGGATACAACGCCAGTAGAGGAGCACCTATACACTGAGACTAACATTTATACCAAAAAATGCAACTGCTAAATATTCTTCCCTCGGGTTTCGAGTGGGACGTAGGGCTTCAACAACATATTCCCATTTTGTCCTATCCCCTATGGTACTTATAAGCTAACTGCCCATAATCTCTCATCCTCTCAGCACATGATTGCCTGCATGTCACCCTCCTACAAACGCGCAACTCTTTGTTTTCAATTCAGGTTCCACTCGAGTGATGGTATGGCGTGCGATGGCATTCAACTGCCTCATCTGTGTTTTTCCTATACGTTTCCATTTTCTTCAGGATGCTTGTTGAGCAATGCGTCCCTAGTCGGTTCCTTTTGAGATTTTGTTGCTGCAAAGTCTTTCTGACTGGCAGACTGATCTTTATTATGGAGCCGGCGAAATACTTAGCTGTTGATAAATGTCTGCATTAACCTGTTGGAAATGTTTTTGATGACGCCTCAAGTTTCTGGTCCATACAGAAGCAGTGACTGACTTAAAAAAGGGTGTTGGAGATCCGAATTTCGTTATTCATATTGAGTACAACAGATTTGAAGACTCATTTCGAAGTGAGAAGGCTCTGGCTTAGCCTACGAATCATGGCTTTCATTTCTTCATGTGTGCCGTCAGCTGTAGTTGAAGCGATGCTTCCTAGATGAGTTAAAGAAATAACCACCTTCAAATCCCTTCCATTGCTAAGGACTGGTTCTTATTGTTTTCTGTTTTCACTTGAAGTACTGAATATGCCACCTGTCTCATATGTCATTTTGTTGGTTCCAGCCAGTGGGTCTTCGAATTCGATTAGCACTAGACCTAAATCATTCACAAAGTTCAAATCTTCTAGAGTTTTTATCGATCGAACCTCTTCTTGTCTTCTCACTCCCAGCACAGCATAATGCATGCTGCAGTCCGCCAAAATTAAGAATATCATCAATGATATTAATGGGAAGCCTTGACTTAGTCCTGGATTCATTTCAAAGGTTTCACTGAGTTTCCCATTGTGGATCACTTGACATTTGGCATTGTCATTTTTTTTCCTTCACGTTCCACAGTTGAACAAAGGGCTTCAAGCTAGTGGCTTGAGGTTTCTGTAGCAGTGTTTATTTTACAGGATATACAGGTTGCTAGCCTCATGCCCAACCTTTCCTCTTTACCAGCAATGTGTCTTTCTCAGGGAAGTAAAGGAATGTGTCGGTCGGGGATCGAACCGCGAAGGGTGAGCGTCCTAACCGCTCTACCACCGATGCACTGGCACTTTCACACATCTGTTGAATATGTCTGATAAGGATTCGCGAAGATTCGTTTACATTTGAAGATGTAGAAAAATAGATTTAGCAGTACAGCTTTAGATAAAATGATCATGAATCATGTTGAAATGAAAATCCCCATCACTAAACGGTTAGAAACAATGACTTTCGGAATTAAGAATACATACATCCCTAGCAGGTGTTTCTTAAACTCGGATACTAAACAGATTATCATATTGCTGCAGTTATTACCAGTTAGATTTTGTGGCTGGTAGATTAATGAGTTGGTGTCCGGCCATGGCCAGTGCAAATCTACTGGCTGCCAAGATCTTCAATCCAACGTAAGTAATCCCTTCTTACACTTAATACAGTCTAAGAATCTAAGATCATGGAACGTGGTCACATCATCAACGCACGTCTAATTAATATCAGTGCTCATCTGTTCAACAGGGGGGGGGGAAATTAAGTGCATAAAAAGCTCGATCCTGTCACACTTGGTCGATACTGAACATCGTATCGATGTCAACACAGCTTTCAATGTTATAAACCGAATTGCGAAGTCCTTATCACGTATAGTTCGCTTACGCCTCCTACACATAGCTGAAGCTGTTGCAATAAGATTGACTAAACCGGAACTTTTTATCCAAAAAGAACACATCCAGACGCTGTTTCTACCGTGGCCAAACTTGGATTGATAATCCTTCATTTCACCAGGAATGCTGCTTCCCCTTGACCTTCTTGGTTTTTTCCTTTCCTTCTTATTACAATTATTATTATTCGTCATAATTTATGTCCTTCATTCAAACATTCTCTCAATACTATCGAATTTTTCATTCATACCATCCAGACTTTTTTTTTTTCCTTCACGTTCCCAGTGGAACATAGGGCTCCAAGCTAGTGGCTTGAAGTTTCTGTAGCAGTGTTTAATTTTTTACAGGATGGGGTTGCTAGCCTCATGCCCAACCTTTCCTCTTTACCAGGATTATTTTTGGCTCAGTGAGGTAGAGGATTGCGCCGGCCGGGGATCGAACCCCGGACCATATGCATGGTCGGCGAGCGTCCTAACCGCTATACCACCATCCAGACTTATTATTAGTGATATTATCTCTTTTCTAAATATATGCCTCCACTTGTTTCATTTCACATATTCATTATTTCATTATGAACCAACTCTCATTGCAATCTTACTATATCCTGTTTAACACGGACTATTTTGTACTAGCCACTCACCTGACTTTTATAACCTTGAACTGACTTGTCAATTTTCCTACCCCACACTCTCCAAATCTATTATGGTTAATCACCACCACCACTGTCTCCCGTTTTGCAATATTTTGGTGATGGATTTCAGCCCAGAGCACGTTTGTCACACAAATACGACTATTTATTTTGTCACCCTACGATAACTAATCTGTTATTCAACACCAACTTATCTCTATGACTGCTGTGATCTTTGTTTTTCCCCTCACCATATCATGTAAAAGGGGAACATGCTATTCAATATTTTTACACATGCTAGGATTTTTCTATACCGCATTGACAATACTGTGTGAAACAAGCCCACGGCAATTTTCACTTGTATTACTATTATTACCTTAGCTCTTATCATTACTATTATTTCCATTTTATATGCCACATGTTTTTGGACATTACCCCATGTAAGATCAATTCTCTTCCCATCCTTGAATCAAGTCAACCTGTCCCGGATCAGCCTAGAGTTGTTGCAACCCAATTATCTATGCCTAACGTGTCTATCCCTGCTTGTTTAATGAACTGTGTGTATGTGTTTTTACCTCGATCCGTTTAGTCAGACAGTTGAACTCATGACCCAATCAGAGTATTTTGTGAACTGTTATTTTTGCTGACCCATGTCTAACTTTGTACTATTCTGTCGAGTTTATCTTATTTTTTGATTTTCATCTGTATTTTCCTACCTGGTTAAGTAGCCAATTAAATTCTTTGTGCCTATGCTCGGTCTATCTCTCTTAACCGCTCTCTGTTTTATGCCATGCCTTACTTGGGTTCATTCTTCTACTGACTGCTTACCTGAACGGTCGTGTCTGGTTCCGGCTAGTTCGCAATTTTGGCTTTAACGTTATTCCGCTCTGATAGCGGTACCTTGCTTTCTGTTAAGCGTTGTGCCTTGCACTCTTGAAACCGTTAAGGTTTGTTGTATATATAATTATTGATTTGTTTATTAACAGTACCGTAGAAACAGTGACCGGCTTTTTGTTTGTTATGGACCGGGATAGCCTTTATCTACGCGTGACTTAATTTCAAGCGATATTGCGCTTACACCCCTATTGGAAATGTGGAAAATTTTCTGTGTGATTAATTTTTATTTATAATTTGAAGAAATTAGATGCAATATTGTTGTGATTAATGCTGAAAATTCCATTCTGTATCACAAGTACTGTTACTGGAATAAAGTAAATCATTATTATTATTGTTATTAAAATGTATCCGTTGCATAACTGGCCTTTATTGTAATGACAACAAATATCTGTTATCTACCCGGCTTACAACTTTCGAAAAATAATAGTTAAAAAAATATCAAGCTTTTTGGCTTTTTATGCATTAATGAACGACTAACAGTCCAAACAACTAGTGAAACTTACCAATACAAATTGATAATGCACAAAGCGGTTGAAAAGCTCGTATCACTCGCTTTGATTTACGGCTACTTAGATCTATAGAAATTGTAATACCTGTTAGACAAAAAAAATAAAGTAAAAATCGATAATAAATGAGTAATACAGTTTCAGTTATAAAGTTATATTTGTAAAATCTCAGCGAAATTGAAATGATTAATTCCAACGTTTCCGCGTTCGGCAATCTGGTCCGAACTTCTTCAGGGAAATTAATCGAAATTAACATAACAAAGATTTATATATCAAGGGGCACCTCTTGTTTTTTAAAATTTTGTCCAATCATGAGTCATGCAACAGATATCAACATGTATAATAAATAAATAAACAGAATGGTATGTTTATTTAAAAGTATACCTCTTATTTTTAAATATGAATCAATAGGTATACTAAACAAAACAAAAATTGTATGAACTATGATCAAAAACTTTTTTGACCTCAGGCTTTCAAAATTTGTCTACTTTTGTTAAAATATATATGTGTATGCAGTATATGCAGGATATAATGGTGTGTGTGTGCATGTGTGTGTGTGTGGGTGGAACAGTCATAAAACATTTGTTATTCTCATATGAGCTGTGATCAAGATTTGACCGGATAGTTACAAAATAATTGACAATTTTATAAATATAGACCGAGCACTTCGGTTCAAACAATCGACAGGAAAATCAAAAATTCAATTCAATAATTAATATATGACCCGTTGCACAAGAGGTGGCTCTCGTGGCCCAAGTGGTCTAGTGGATGACGCTTTGGAGTTTGAAACTATGGGTACTGGGTTCAAGCTTCGGTGGGAACGTCATCATTCACTGAGAAATGCAGGTACATCCAGATGACGAGTCCCAAACAGGACGAAATGCGCATCCTGGATTCCACTGCTAGCCACCATCCACCAATTGTATATTTTTACAAATATAATTTAATTTTTATAGATTTGTTATTCTCTCCATAAGAAGACGTAGACAATCGGGAATTTGACCAAGTGTGACTACTTGTTCATACATATCAAATTTTACTTTGTTTATTAGTCAGGATTTGCCATGCATCGGCTAACATCACACCTTCACGTCTGTTCAAACTGTTGGGATTCACCCATATATGTAGGGCTTCTGCAGTTAATCTTTCTTGATATGAACCAAAACCTTTTTGTAAAACCTTAGTTTTATCAAAGTCGATTTTGTGTCCCGTTTCTATTGAATGTAGTGCAATCGCTGAGTTGTTTTCTAGCTTCTTCAAGTCTGCAGAGCTCTTTGGAACCACCTTTAGACATTGCTTGTGCTCTTTCATTCTTACATTTACCTGTCTAGAAGTTTCTCCTACATATACTGCGTTGCAATCCCCACAATTGATCTGGTATACGCAATTCTGCTGGTTTTCTTATTCTATTTTATCTTGTCTACTTCTCATTCAGCGCTCAATTATTTTGCAACTATCCGGTCGAATCTTGATCACAGTTCGTATGAACAGTTTCAGTTAGTTAATAATAATAATAATAATAATTTGCTTTATTCCAAAACAGTATTTGTTAATACAGAATGGAATTCTCAGCATTTCACTACATACACTATTGCATCCAATTAGTACATTAACAAAAAAAAAATAAAATTCTACACAGATTACGTGTAATCTCAGTTCGCTTTGACAACCACGTATTGGCAAGTCAGTGGCAAAGCCAAAATTGAACAGAGTGTTTGGTGTTAGAAAGGTAGATACTACTAGCATATTTACTGGCGTAAGCGGTAACAAAAAGGTCAAGATATGCAGATTGTGTGAAAGAACGAAGAAGAATGTTTCAAATAGAGTTTGTAAAGAGGAGAGAAACAAAGCAGCACATAACAGAAAAAAAGAGAGAGAAAAGGAAAAGAAAGAAAGAAAACGTTGTACCCATAAATGATATGAGTTGGAAAGACGAGATCCAGTTGTTCTACTGACTATTTAATAAGTTATAGGTATCACGCCTAATGCATTCTTTATCGTACAGAACACGAGCTAAGTAGAGTATGGCTGAGCTTTCGTACTTGCTAGTGCGAGCATATCGTTTTCTACATAGGCTTCTGATCAGCCTGCCTGATGAGATACAAGGGGAGAGTTGTGAATGAAGAGGGTGGTGTGAGTTAGATAGATAGAATGGATTTTGCTCATTTTTCACATGAGTCCATGTGCCTGTCAGCCAGAATATTAACAAGCGGGTTAAGTGGCACGTTGTTTATCCTACTGACAACTTTTAACATCCTCATTAGTTATGAATTACTTCTATAGATCAAGTGTCGATAAAAGGATGGTGTTCAGCAACAAGTGTGACACAACCTTCATGTATGACTCTGCACATTTTCTTATGGCTCATCCTGAGTTAGAATGACGCTAAGTCATAAATAAAGGACGTGCAGGGCATAGGTATTAATAGTTACTGATGTAAGGATAGAACTTGAGCACTGTGACAGAGTATAACTCCATTATGGATAAGATTTTATTTTGATAAAGTTACACACTGTGTTGTTATACAGTAAATAATATTTACTGATGATCGTGTTTCCAGCACAAATTATTGCTACTCATAATCATATCAAGGCACATATACTCACACAACTGTCTTGCTTCGTTTATATACATGAGTGAAATTGATGATTAGACATTTGACTAAAAATCAATATAGGATAATGTACATTCAGAAATAATAATAATAATATGAGTGATATCAATGAAATACAATCAGATGGGTAGAAAGATGTTTTTATAGTCGAAATCAATAACTTGTTTGAATGTTATAATGTGAATTGAGCTGAATACATTTTAAAATTATTTATTATCCTCCTCTGATTTGACTGACTGACTGACTGACTGGTGGTAATAATATCTTCCATACATATCTCTGGTATTTGCATTGAGTCACTTCTATTGTACCATGTGTTGGGTGTAGATTCACTCGTGGAACCAGGATTCAGCAATCAATCTCTCTCTCTCTGTCTCCACCTGCCTATATCACCTTTTAGAATTTCGACTCTGTCCCATCCACTCTAATGTGTAGTGTTGTGTTAATACATGCAGTGCAGTTGTTGAGTTTGTTTTTCTTCGTGGGATCAATCATTTCACACTTAGTTATTAAATTCTTATGTTCTGATAATCTCACTACTCTTGATTTACCAGTTTGAACTATGTAGCTGACCACAGCGATCTCATTGAATAAAAATGCCAAAGATATGTATGGAAGATATTATTACCACCAGTCAGTCAGTCAAATCAGAGGAGGATAATAAATAATGTTAAAATGTATTTCAATTCAATTCACATTGTAACATTCAAGCAAGTTATTTATTTATTTAAGTATAAAAGTTGAGCCCTGTGTTAGAGCATAACTCCATTATGGATAAGATTTTATTCTGATAAAGTCATACAGTGGTGTACAGTAATATTAACTGATGACCACGTTTCGAGCACAAATTATTACTTCTCATAATCATATGAAGTTACTCACACAACTTTTTCCCTTCATTTATATACATGAGTGGAATCGATTAGATATTGGAACAAAAATCAATATTGGATAATGTACATTCAGAAACAATAATATGAGTGTTGTTGACCAATTACAATCAGATGGGAAATAAGACGAGTGTTTTTATAGTCATAATAAGTTACTTGTTAGAATGTTGTGATGTGCTTGAAGTGAAATAGAATTTTATGATTATTTATTATCCTCCTCTGATTTGACTGACTGGTGGTAACAATATCTTCCATACATATCTCTCGTATTTGTGTTGAGTCACTTCTATTGCATTTGTTGCGTGTAGACTCGATGAACGAGGCAGGATTCAGTAATCAACCTCTCTCTCCATCTACCTGGATTACGTTTTAGAATTTTAACCCTCTCCCACCATGCTATTGTGTGGTTGTTTGTTAATGCGTGAAGTGTAATTGCTGAGCTTTTTTCTAAATTATTCATCTTCTTGGGGTCAACCATTCTTCCCTTAGCTAAATTCTTATGTTCTGGCAATCTGACTATCCCCAACCTACTAGTTTGACCTATGTAGTTGACCTAACTCACAGTTATTACAAGGTATTTTGTAAATTATATTATTTTTGTCTGATTCAGTCAACAGGGTCCTTTAACCTACAGAGCTTGTCCCTGAGTGATTTTGATGGTTTGAATTCCATTATAATTCCTACTTTATTAGGAATCCAAAGTAGGTTCTCAGATATCCCCTCCTTATATGGTATAACAGTGTCTTGAAATGAATATGAGTGGCAGTAATTTGTGCTCGAAACGTGGTTATCAGTAAATATTATTGTATAACACTGTGTGTGTGTGTGTGGCACACCGGTTAGGACTCTCGCCGACTATGCACATGGTCCGAAGCTCGAACAACTGTCGACGCACACCTGATATCAATGGCTGGACTGCAAATTTTGGGCTATCGGTATCACAAGCTGAGAATTTCGTGCCTGTACTGAAAATACGGTATGGAATCAAGCTGTAATCAAAAAATAAATTGTTTCTGTAATGGAGTTATTTCTAATTACTTTATTTATAACTTTGATTCAGTGAATGCATAGTGATGAAATTATGTCAGAGAGAATTATATTAAATTATGTATTAAGAGGTCCATTCAACTACCTTAAACAGCACATGACCAGATGTAATGTGCACATATTGTATTTGAGTGAATTTTGCCCCAGTGATGGCTGTAATCATGAGAAGAATTGGCACTGGAGTATTTATCATTTGGGCCAAGGAAAAGTTTCCCTACTCCGATTATCTTTTAATGTAATGAAGTGCAGACTGCCAGACTGGAGTGCTCAGATAGCTAAGAACCAGTAGTTAGAGATTGTTGGTGAAATGTCTCAAAATCATTTTCAGCAGAACAGATGTATTGTGAATCTGCTAATTCTGGGGATGTTACCTCATCTTTTCATTGGAAACGTCGTTGGTTCAATGGTAGGCTGCTCATTAGCCACCTGATTAGGCTGTGTTTAATCCTAGGCCTACTCACTTCCAAACCTTGACCAGTTTAATACTTGACATCAAGGTCAGTGTATATACACTCCACGAAGTTTAGGTATAATTT